CCTAGGAAGGGCCCATGTGATGAGGAGCTGAGGTCTTCTGGCAACAGCTATGTGAGTGCTCCCCTCTGGACAAAGGTCCTCTAGTGCTTCTGACGACCACAGCCCTGGCCATCAGCAGGACTGCAAGCTTATCCAGTCCAAGAGACTAAACTGACCAGTCCAGCCAATCCCAGATTCCTGCCCCTCAGAAACAGTGAGATAACAATTTGCTTTAACTTGCCAGATCGCCAAATTTGGAATGCACTGCCCAGGGCTGTGAGAGTTCCCATCATGTGAAGAGGACGCAGACTTTGTCCCGTCCAAGTCCTTAAACACCTGTCCAAAGCCCTACACCCAAAAGTCTAAAGAAACACTGAGGAAGCTGGGCAAAATGGCTCACGCCTGTAATCCTAGCACTTTGGGAGGCTGAGGTGGGTGGATCACCTGAGGTCAGGAGTTCAAAACCAGCCTCACCATCATGGTGAAACTCCATCTTTAAAAAAAAAAAAAAGAAAGAAAGAAACACTGAGGAATACATGATTAGTTCAGTAGAGGAGCCGCCAGTGCTGAAGCTCTGGTGCACTCATGGGTGCTGCAGTTCACAAGCTCTGGAGACGAGGCTAACTGCAGAAGCAAATGTGCTTAAGAAAAAATATGGGGAGCAGCGGTGGCTCTGGCCAGTTTTCCTGGCGCTTGAGGAGGCCAGGCTATGCGTTCCAGGCCAACCTGGGCAAAATTTAGAACCTCTCATTGATCAAAAAAAAGAAAAAATATGTAAAAATTTACTAGCTGCCAAATTTGGGAAGAAGCAAATATGTAATTATTTGTTAAGATATTAATAAGGGCTGGCCCTGCCCTGGTCCACTGGGGTGTGGGCTCCGGCAGCAAAAAAAATGAGTAAAAAAAATAATAGCCAGGCGCGGTGGCTCAAGCCTGTAATCCCAGCACTTTGGGAGGCCGAGGCGGGTGGATCACGAGGTCAAGAGATCGAGACCATCCTGGTCAACATGGTGAAACCCCGTCTCTACTAAAAATACAAAAAATTAGCTGGGCATGGTGGCGCGTGCCTGTAATCCCAGCTACTCAGGAGGCTGAGGCAGGAGAATTGCCTGAGCCCAGGAGGCGGAGGTTGCGGTGAGCCAAGATTGCGCCATTGCACTCCAGCCTGGGTAACAAGAGCGAAACTCTGTCTCAAAAAAATAATAATAATAAATATTAATAAGGAAGCCTAGATGAGTTTTTTTTTTGCTTTTTTTTTTTTTTTTGGAGACAGTCTCGGTCTGGTACAGTGGTTCACACCTATAATCCCAGCTACAGGCTGAGGTGGGAGGATCACTTGAACTTGGGACACAGAGGCTGCAGTGAGCCAAGACTGTGCCACTGCACTCCAGCCTGGGCAACAGAGTGAGACCCTGTCTCAAAAAAAAAAAAAAAAAAAAAAAAAAAGACAAGGTCTCACTCATCACTTAGGCTGGAGTGCAATAGCACGATCTCGACTCACTGCAGCCTCCACCTCCCGGGTTCAAGTGATTCTCATGCCTCAGCCTCCCAAGTAGCTGGGACTACAGGCATGTTGCTACCATGCCTAGCTAATATTTTTCGATTTTTAGTAGAGAAGGAGTTTTGTCATGTTGGCCAGTCTGGTCTTTAACCCTAACTCCTGAACTCAAGTGATCCACCCACCTCGCCCTCCAAAAGTGCTAGTATTACAGGCATGAGCCACCACAGCCGGCCCGAAGCCTCGATCTTAAAACCAAAAAAAGTCCCGAAGGATCAACTTCTGTCTCCAGAATGCTAAATATTATTTAACAGGTAAGGCAACTGAAGTTTGTAGTGTTGCTTGCCTCATGTCCTTCAACTGACAGAGGGACTCAGGCACAGAGCCCAGGATGTTTCTGCATTAACAGGGAACAAAGGCATGGGAATGGGGACAGATCCACGTTTTCTTCCCACAGCCCAGGCTGAAAGGGCTGCCCTAGGTGCTCCTGAGGCACCCTCCCTGATGGAGTGAGAGCTGAGGGAACCTGGGGTCGGTAGCCATTCAGAGGCCTAAGGCTGACCCAAATCAGGAGTCACCAAGAGACTGCCTCTCTAGAGAACAGGCAGAGAAGGGAAGTCATGCCAAGTCCTGATGTGCAGAGTTCAGACGGCTGAGGAAGGGTGAAAGTCGAAATGAGCAAGCAGCAGTTAGGAAGTGCAGAAAGAACAGACAGTGTGGAGGAGGGAAAGCCAGGGTCCTGACAGCTGAGGAACTGCCTCTGGCTCTGGGGGCCAAGGCTCCTACAGGTCCCTCTTCCTGGATCCAAATCATGGAGAAAAACTAAACCCCCAAACCATGGGGCACCCAAATCATTAAAACTCCTACGGCTCGAGGCTATGTGAGCCTCTTCTGCCTGGCACTACGGCGGGACTGAAGCTGAGAGCCACGCAGTTCACCTCTCATCTGTAGGTCTGGGACGCAGCCAGCCTTCAAAGCACAGTTGTTAAATAGATGAGTTTGAATAAATGCATCAGTACTCTTTTCCCATACCCTTATTTCCCATGACATCTCAGTAATAACTGGATGCCAGGGATTCCTGTCTTGTCACTTGCCCTCACAGACATTTATTGCATTTTATCTTTACAGCCACCCTGTGGGAAACCCAAGGCTGATACTAGCCTCACTTTGCAGATGATTATCATCCCCATTTTACTGCTGGGAAAATTGAGGCTTGGAGAAGTTACTAACTTGCTTCAGGTCATAGGCCAAGGAGGACAGAACCCAGCGTTCTTCCCCAGGGGCGGCCTCTTGCCCACACCCCACACTGCTTCTGATGAATTGCCAGGAAACGATTTTAAAATATCTCAGACAATAAATATTAACAGGACTGCTTCTTAAACTCTTCCCAAACATATCCAAATGTGCCCGCTTTGAATGACAAATCCTATAAACATATGCATAAAGGGTGTGAGGATCAGTCACTTCCTAGGACGGGAGAAACCCTTTCACAAGTTTGCTTCAATTGGTCACGGGACAAGGCTGGAGAAAGGGTAAAGGCAGGGCATGGAGCTGGAAGGCGAAAAGTGGGCAGGACAGTGACAAGCTCTATCCCTCTCACCAAGTCCGCCAGGTGTTTTTTATTTTTATTTATTTATTTAATAAAAAAGAGAGATGGGGTTTCACCATGTTGGCCAGGATGGTCTCAATCTCTTGACCTCGTGATCTGCCCACCTCAGCCTCCCAAAGTGCTGGGATTACAGGCGTGAGCCACCGCGCCTGGCCCACCGGGTGTTTTTTTTTTGTTTTTTGTTTTTTTTTTTTTGAGACGGAGTTTCGCTCTTGTTACCCAGGCTGGAGTGCAATGGCGCGATCTCGGCTCACCGCAGCCTCCGCCTCCCGGGTTAGGCAATTCTCCTGTCTCAGCCTCCTGAGTAGCTGGGATTACAGGCATGCGCCACCATGCCCAGCTAATTTTTTGTGTTTTTAGTAGACACGGGGTTTCACCATGTTGATCAGGATGGTCTCGATCTTTTGACCTCGTGATCCACCCGCCTCGGCCTCCCAAAGTGCTGGGATTACAGGCTTGAGCCACCGCGCCCGGCCCCACCGGGTGTTTTTTAACCAGGGAAAGAAAAAAGTAGAGGAGGAAACGTTAAGAGTGGACTCACTGCAAAGGCAGCCCGTACAATAAGAAGCAAAAAAAGGCAGTTCAATTGTGAAAACCAGTGGCAGCCCTGGGTTTATGGGGAGGCCCTCTCCGCAAACCAGCAGAACGCCTCCCCAGCCACGAGCACCTCTGCAGAGGCACCCAGCCCACGGGAAGGCTGAGGGCGAATAACCGCGATATTTCAAATAATTCCCCGAGCGTTTCGGGGCTGAGGAAGAGGATAAACCGCAGCCCCCTGGCTTTGCCGTCTAGTCTGTAGTGGTGGAGTGAGTGCAGGCCCAGACACCAGACCGGCCTTGAAATTCTGCACTAACTTCAGAGCTGTGATCCTGGGCAGGTTACTTCTAATGCTTCTGAATCTGTTTTCTTATCTGCAAAAGAGAGATACGATTTCCTGCACAGGGCTGTGAATGACACGGGTGTCGGACACGGAGCTAGGCACCCGGGGATGCTGGCCGTCATTATGAGTATTCATTGTCATGAATTTGGGAAACACAGAAAAGCATAAAAATAAATAAGTCACACTCATCCTACCTCCGTAACAGACCCGTCTAGCCCTTGCTTTTCCTACTCAACAAGCTTGTCACCTCCTGGCGTCAGGTCGGGACCTAACGGCAGACGGACCCGCGCGCCTGGGAGCCCACGAGGGACCCTGCCCGGGCCTGGAGTGCGGACCCCGAATAGAACAGAGCCTTCTTCCCTGCTTCCCATGCTGGGCTCGCGCAGCGCCCGGGGCAAACCCTGACCGGACTCCCGAGGCAGGACGGGGACTTGAAGCGCCTCCGAGGTGCATCGGTCGGAGGGGACTGCCCCGGCGCTCGGCTCAGAGCTCTGCGGGCTCCAGCCGGGCCACGCCGCGCTCTCCCGCCTCAGGGCCCGCCTCGGCCAGGGCCGCCTTCCGGCGTCGGCTGCAACTCCGGTTCTCGTGCTCCGGCTGCTCCAGAAGCGGGAAAGCCGCCCCCTTCCTGCGCTCCTCACCCGGAAGGGGCCCTCCCGACGCCAGGCCTCCCACGCCGGCCTCTCCTCGCAGGCGGGATTCGGGCCCGCAACGTCCGCCCGCGCCCGTTGCGGAGCCCTGCGGGAGACCAAGGCTGTCCGTGCGGGCGGTCCCTCGACGCGGGCGGAGCGCGACCACGCAGCCGCGACCCGGCCAGTGATTCACCCGCTCGGCCCCGGACAAACAAGGCGGGCGTCAGAAACAAACAGGGCGGCCAGGGCCTCCTAGCAAACGGCCCCCGCGCTGCAGGGCCTCGGGCAGCTGCGACAGAGCCCGGCCGGAGCTGCGGGCTGGGGCAGGAGGCACCCGCTGCGCAGGCGCCCGATAGGCACCGCCCACCTGCCCGTCCCCTTTCCGCGCAGGCGCCCCGCGGCTCGCGCAGGCGCGGCTTCCAGACCAACATGGCGGCTGTGCTGCTGCTGCTCCGCGCCCTTCGCCGGTGCCCAGGTCCGGGTCCTGGGCGGCTCTGGGGCCCAGGCCCGGCCTGGAGTCCAGGGTACCCCGCGGGGTCCGGGAAGCGGCGGCCGTACTTGGTTAGCAGGCCTCCGGGGGGCCTCGCTGAGGCTGGAGGCCAAGCCGTACAGGTAAATCCCTGCGGCGTCCGGGCCCCACCTCCCGTCCCGCCCTTTTTGCGACGACCTGCTACGGAAGGCCGCGCCAGGCGGGTCGGCGTCGGAGGCAGCCTGACCCCTGTGGCTGGGGAGCCTGCGCCCGTGGGCCCGCGGGTCCTCCAGCTGCGGCCCCTCGGCGTCGGGAAGGCGCCTTGAGGGGAGCCGGGAGCGGACCTTGGCGCGGAGCGGCCGTTCGGGCCCTGGAGCGTGGGCGCTGGACGGGTCGGGAAGGGGCAGGACTGGGATCCGCGCAGGCCTCGGCTTGAGCTTTGCCAACTCTTATGTTGTGTTTGGATATTTTCCGCCTATCTGCCTGGGGTTTTTGTTTGTTTGTTTGTTTGTTCAGGCTGGAGTGCAGTGGCTTGATCTCGGCTCACTGCATCCTCTGCCTTGCGGGTTCAAGCGATTCTTCTCAGCCTCTGGAGGAGCTGGTACCTACAGGCGCGCGCCACACGGCCGGCTAATTTTTTTGCGTTTTTAGTAGAGACGGAGTTTTACTATGCTAGCCAAGGTTAATCTCGTGACCTCAAGTGATCCGCCTGCCTGGGCTTCCCAAAGTGATGGGATTACAGGCGTGAGCCGCCGCTCCTTGCCCTGCTTCGCCTTTTAAAGTGGAATCCAGTACGTTACAGTTTCCGGCGGATCGCTTATTTGCGGTCTGCACCTGTGGCTGGATTCAGTCTCTAGAAATTCCAGCGCCTTCCAGTTAGGGTGCACAGTGCCGAGTGCGCGGCCCAGTAAGTTTCTGTGTGCGCAGAAACCCTGTAGTTGCACTTTGCTGTTGTGGTTTGGCACGATACTGATAAAAAGTCATTGAACACCCCCTGTGGGGAAGCCTTGTTTCAAGTTCTGCGAAGGATCCCATCTCCTTTCGAAAACCAGACCCTGAGTCTTGACCTTTTGGCCTGATGCTTTTTCTCCTATCCCTTTCCTGGGAGCTTAGCCCACACATTTTCGGTTGCTATTTATTTAGTTATTTCTGAGACAGAGTCTGGCTCTGTCGCCCAGGCTGGAATGCAGTAGTGCTATCACGGCTCACTGTGGCCTCGACCTTCAGACTCCAGTGATTCTCTTACCTCAGCCTCCTGATGTGAAAGGCCTTAGCGAGGCACGGGCCACCACACCTCTCTAACTTTTGTATTTTTTTGAAGATATGGGGGTCTCCCAATGTTGCCTAGCTTTGCTACTGATCTTTAGAACTTAAAACGTATATTTTTTTTTTTTTTGAGACGGAGTTTCGCTCTTGTTACCCAGGCTGGAGTGCAATGGCGCAATCTCGGCTCACCGCAACCTCCGCCTCCTGGGTTCAGGCAATTCTCCTGCCTCAGCCTCCTGAGTAGCTGGGATTACAGGCACGCGCCACCATGCCCAGCTGATTTTTTGTATTTTTAGTAGAGATGGGGTTTCACCATGTTGACCAGGTTGGTCTCGATCTCTCGACCTTGTGATCCACCCGCCTCGGCCTCCCAAAGTGCTGGGATTACAGGCTTGAGCCACCGCGCCTGGCCTTAAAACACATTTAAATGGGAAAATGTTTATCTTGAAAGGAGGTTGCTGAAAATACATACTTGTTAACTAGTTTAGTACCTGGAAATGTTCTGCAAGGAGCCACTCTGTGGTGACAGCAGGAGCACCGGGTCTTCGCAGCCCCTGTGACCTTTGGAGAGCTGGGCTGGTCCCTTCCCCCTGTAGAAGCTTCAAGCCATGGAATAGCAGTGTTTTGTTTGCTTTTTTCCTTTTTTTTGAGACAGGGTCTCATTCTGTCACCCAGGCTGGAGTGCAGTGGCCGGATGATGGCTCACTGAAGCCTCTGCTTCCTGGGCCCAAGCAGTCCCGTTTCAGCCACTTCCTCAGTAGCTGGGACTACAGGTGCACACAGGCTTTTTTTGTAGAGGTAGGGTTTCCCCATGTTGCCCAGGCTGATCTTGAAGTCTTGAGCTCAAGCAGCGCTCCCACCTTAGTCTCCCACAGGCCTGAGCCACCATTCCTGACCACTGCTATGGTGTTTTTGTTTTTTTTTTTGTTTTGTTTTTTTTGTTTTTTTTTTTTTTGAGACGGAGTTTCGCTCTTGTTACCCAGGCTGGAGTGCAATGGCGCGATCTCGGCTCACTGCAACCTCCGCCTCCTGGGTTCAGGCAATTCTCCTGTCTCAGCTTCCTGAGTAGCTGGGATTACAGGCACGCGCCACCATGCCCAGCTAATTTTTTGTATTTTTAGTAGAGACGGGGTTTCACCATGTTGACCAGGTTGGTCTCGATCCCTTGACCTTGTGATCCACCCGCCTCGGCCTCCCAAAGTGCTGGGATTACAGGCTTGAGCCACCGCGCCCGGCGGTGTTTTTGTTTTTTTGAGAGGGAGTCTTGATTTGTCTCCCAGGCTGCAGTGCAGTGGCGCCATCTAGGCTCACTGCAAGCTCCCCTCCCAGATTTCAAGCAATTTTCCTGCCTCAGCTTCCTGAGTAGCTGAGATTACAGGTGTCTCCCAACACACCTGGCTAATTTTTGTGTTTTTAGTAGATCTCAAGTTTCACCGTCATGGCCAGTCTGGTCTTGAACTCCTGACCTCAGGTGATCCACTCATCTCAGCCTCCCAAAGTTCTGGGATTACATGTGGGAGCCAGGGCGCCTGGCCACCTACTGTATTTTAACCTGTTTGCTTGCTTCCAACATTTTGATGTTACCCTAAAGCTTTGAAATACTGCTTAGACTATTACCTCATATTTCAGGACAATTTAGATATTACAAATAATTATATGTTTGAACTTCTAAAAATGATTTTTAGGCTGGACGCAGTGGCTGAAGCCGGTAATCCCAGCACTTTGGGAGGCCGAGGCGGGCGGATCACCTGAGGTCAGAAGTTCGAGACCAGTCTGGCCAACATGGTGAAACCCCGTCTCTTTTTTTTTTTTTTAAGACGGAGTTTCACTCTTGTTACCCAGGTTGGAGTGCAATGGCGCGATCTCGGCTCACCGCAACCTCCGCCTCCTGGGTTCAGGCAATTCTCCTGCCTCAGCCTCCTGAGTAGCTGGGATTACAGGCACACGCCACCAAGCCCAGCTAATTTTTTGTATTTTTAGTAGAGACGGGCTTTCACCATGTTGACCAGGATGGTCTCGATCTCTTGACCTCGTGATCCACCCGCCTCGGCCTCCCAAAGTGCTGGGATTACAGGCTTGAGCCACCGCGCCCGGCCTGAAACCCCGTCTCTTTTTAAAAAAAAAAAAAAAAAAAAAAAAAAAGATTTTTAGTCCGTGTTGCTTTGGTATTTTGTTATGTTGGTGTAACCTCTGGTATTGGGATTTTTTTTTTCAGAGCTTAAAATTGCGACTGCTAACCCCTACCTTTGAAGGGATCAACGGATTTTTATTGAAACAACATTTACTTCAGAATCCGGTCAGACTGTGGCAACTTTTAGGTATGTATCTGTTGAAAGAAGCAGCTGAGCATGACTTTGCAGGCGTATATCCCAGCTACTTGGGAGGCTGAGACAGGAAAATTGCCTGAGCCTAGGAGTTCAGGGCTGATGCTGCTACTGTACTCCAGCCTGGATCACATAGTGAGACCCTGTCTCTAAACAAAAAAATACGGAAGTGACAAGGCAGATACTGTTTTCTTTTTTGTTTTGTTTTAGAGAGGGGACTTTGCTCTGTTGCACAGGTGGGAGTGCAGTGCAGGTGTGTGATCAGAGCTCACTACAGCCTAGAACTCCTGGGCTCAAGTGATCCTCCCACGTCTGCTTCCAGAGTAGCTAGGACTAAAGGCACATGCCATCACACTCGGCTAATATTTTACTTTTTTCTAGAGACAAGGTTTTACTTTGCTGTCCAGGCCGGAAGGGATCTCTTTACTTCCTTACTCCCTGGCTGCAGAACCTTGGCCTCTTGAGCGTAAGTGATCCTCCCACCTCAACCTTCTGAATAGCCAGGCCTACAGCCACACACCACTGCAACTAGCTACATTTTTTTTTTTTTTTTTTGTGGATATGGGGCTTTGCCACATTTCCCAGGCTGGTCTTGAACTCCTGGACTCAAGCAGTCAGCCTGCCTTGGCCGTCCACAGTGTTGAGATTACAGGCATGAGCCATTGCACATGGCCTAGTAGTCTTTTTTTTTTGTTTTTTGAGATAAAGTCACGCTATGTCACCCAGGCTGGAGTGTAGTGGCATGATCTTAGCTCACTGCAACCTCTGCCTCCTGGGTTCAAGTAGTTCTCTGTCTCAGCCTGCTTAGTAGCTGGGATTATACGTGCCTGCCACCACAACTGGCTAATTTTTGTATTTTTAGTAGAGATGGGGTTTCACCATCTTGGGGAGGCTCGTCTTGACTTGACCTCATGATCCACCCACCTCATCCTTACAAAGTGCTGGGATTCCATTACAGGCATGAGCCACCCTGCCAGTCTTTTTTTGTTTTGTTTTGTTTTGTTTGAGAGGGAGTTTTGCTTCTGCTGCCCAGGCTAGAGTGCTGTGGTATGATCTCGGCTCACTATAACCTCCAGCTCCCTGGTTCAAGCAATTCTCTTGCCTCAGCCTCTCAAGTAGCTGGGACTACAGGAACATGCCATTGTACCTAGCTAATTTTTGTATTTTTAGTAGAGAGGGGGTTTCACCATGTTGGCCAGGATAGTCTCAATCTCCTGATCATGTGATCCGCCCATCTCAGCCTCCGGAAGTGCTAGGATTACTGGCGTGAGTTACCGCACCCGGCCCAAGTTGTCCTTTTTTTTTTTTTTTTTTTTTTTTAATTCTGGTATATCGTAATAATTGGGCAACTTGAAAAAGGTTTTTCATGTTATGTAGTCAGCTGCAAGAATGTTTAGTACACGTCTACAAAGTGTCATCAGATGTTTTATATCCAGACAATCACTAAAAGTACCCTGCAGATAATTGGCTTTTGAATAAATCATTTAATGAAAACTTGTGACATTCTCTGGTCTCTCTTGACTCTAGGTTAAAGAACCTGAAGGACTGACACCTCACCCCTTTATTTTACTCTCCCCTTTATGCAGTTGGGACAGGGAAAAAGTAAAACATTTCTGCTCCTAATTGACATTAAGCAGCCGGGTGCCAACACATACGTAGGGAGAGTGCTGTGCCCAATGATGGGCCGTCCAGCCGCAGCCTGCCCATCTGCTGTCAGTGTTTAGCCTCAGCCCACTGGTACCATGGCTGTGAGACAGGAAGCCCACACTTGAGCCCTCTTCACACCTCAGGTTATGTGCAAGCTGCAACCAGGGTCGTTTCATTGGTGAACCTGCTCGTGTGTTTGTGAAGAAAGTTACATTTCAGGTCACGGTTGTGAAAAATCTTTCCCCATTTTTATTAATTTTTTTATTATGGAGATAGGGTCTCACCCTGCTGCCCAGGTGCAGTCTCCACTCACTGCAGCCTCCTGAGTAGCTGGGACTGCAGGTGTGTAATACCACGTCCAGCTACTCTTTTTTTCTTTTCTTTTCTTTTTTGAGACAGTCTTGCTCTGTAGACCAGGCTGAAATGCAGTGGCATGATCTCAGCTCACTGCAACCTCTGCCTCCCAGGTCCCATTTCAAGCGGTTCTCCTGCCTCAGCCTCCCAAGTAGCTGGGATTACAGGCATGTGCCACCACACCGGGCTAATTTTTGTATTTTTGGCAAAGACAGGGTTTCATCATCTAGGCCAGGCTGGTCTTGAACTACTGACCTCATGATGCACTCTCCTCAGCATCCCAGAGTGCTGTGATAACAGGCATTAGCCGCTGCACCTTGCCTTTTTTTTTTTTTTTTGAGAGACAAGGTTTTGCCATGTTGCCCAACCTGGTCTTGAATTGTTGGGTTCAAGCCATCCTCCTGCCTTGGCCTCCCAAAGTGCTGGGATTTGTAAACGCTGATTTGTTCATACTTTGGGCCAGACAGAGCCTGTGTGTGGAGTGTCATGCCAGCCTCTCGGTGGTGGTGGCTGGGCTGCTGCTGTTGCCACTTGTCTGGAAGCCTCTTGTGCCTTTTTTTTTTTTTTTTTTGAGACTAAATCTTGCTTTGTCCCCCAGGCTGGAATGCAGTGGCTCCATCTCAGCTCACTTCAACCTACGCCTCCAGGGTTCGAGTGATTCTCCTGCCTTAGCCTCCTGAGTAGCTGGGACTGCAGCTCACCTGGCTAATTACTATAATTTTAGTAGAGATGGAGTTTCTCTACTAAAATGATGTTGCCTGGGCTGAGGTGGCCAACCTGAGGTGACCCACCTGCCTCAGCCTCTCAAAGTGCTGGGCTGACAGGCGTGAGCCGTTTGATGAGGTTCATTTAAAGAAACTTTGTATGTTAAAGGGATTCTGCTGTAACACCCTTGATATTTTCCCAAATTTGTGTTCACAACTATTTTTATTTTTATTTTATTTATTTTTTTGAGATGGAGTTTCTCTCTTGTTATCCAGGCTGGAGTGCAATGGTGCAATCTCGGCTCACCGCAACCTCTGCCTCCTGGGTTCAGGCAATTCTGCCTCAGCCTCCTGAGTAGCTGGGACTACATGCACGCGCCACCATGCCCAGCTAATTTTTTGTATTTTTAGTAGAGACGGGATTTCACCATGTTGACCAGGATGGTCTCGATCTCTTGACCTTGTGATCCACCCGCCTCAGCCTCCCAAAGTGCTGGGATTACAGGCTTGAGCCACTGTGCCCAGCTCACAACTATTTTTATTAGCCAATTTTTTTTTTTTTTTTTTTGAGATGGAATTTCACTCTTGTTACCCAGGCTGGAGTGCAATGGCACGATCTCGGCTCACCGCAACCTCCGCCTCCTGGGTTCAAGCAATTCTCCTGCCTCAGCCTCCCGAGCAGCTGGGATTACAGGCACTCACCACCATGCCCAGCTAATTTTTGTATTTTTAGTAGAGACGGGGTTTCACCATGTTAGTCAGGATGGTCTCAATCTCTTGACCTCATGACCCACCTGCCTCAGCCTCCCAAAGTGCTGGGATTACGAGTGTGAGCCATGGCACCCAACTTACATTAGCCAGTTTAAACGGCAAAGATACTTAATTTCATAAGTTAAAATAGTTTATTATTCTGTAATTAGTAAATACTGGATGAAGTGATACAGGTAATGCTTTATTTTAAATTTGTAAACCTAATGGCTGGAAGTAGGCTTTTTCAGATGGGTTGTGTTTTGCCTTGATTATTTCCGAATATGCTGTTCTGTGTGTCTCCCCTGTAGCTGCAAACCTCAGCTGTTAAATCCTTTCTCTATTACAGGTGGCACTTACTATTTTAACACCTCAAGGATGAAGCAGAATAATAAGGAGAAGTCAGAGGGGAAGACGCCTCAAGAGGACGAAGGTATGCTCTTCTGCTGCTCTTCAGTCGGTGGCTGCCTCTGCCTGTCTTCACATCTCTGTTCTCTTGGCAAAGTGAAGCCAGTCTTGAAAGTGGGGAGATGGGCCGGGTGCAGTGGCTCACACCTGTAATCAAAGCCCTTTGGGAGACCCAGGTTTAAGAAACACTGGTGGCTGGGAGTTTGAAATCAGCTCAGGCCACAGAGCCAGACCCTGTCTCCCTACAAATTAAAATAAAATAAAAGTTTAAAAAGACCCTGTCTATACAGAAAGAAAAAGAAAACAAAATAATTCGCCTGGCGCACCTGTAGTCGTAGCTACTGAGGAGGCTGAGGTGGGATCACTTGAGCGCAGGAGTTAGAGGCTCAGCCTCAGATTGACAGCCTCAAGGGATATAAGGATTGAAGTCAGCTTCAGAAATGGTTTATTTGTGGGCCTTTGAGGCCTCTCACTGGAAATCTGTGTTGTCAGGTAGACTCCTTGCTCATGAGCTATGATCATACCACTGCACTCCAGCCTGGGCAGCAGAGCAAGACCATCTCAGAAAGAAGCAGCGTAGGGAGAGCTCACACACCTGGGCTTGCCTTGCACTCTGCACATTTGCCCACCCTTCACTGAACACGCAATTGCTGGGTCCTTTGCGCTTCCTCCTCTAGAAATGCCTCTCGGGGCACCTGCCTCTCTGTGTTGTGTTCAGGAATATCTGATGGCAGGTCATTTCAACCTCTGCACAGAAAGCAGGAATCTCAGATCTGCTCAGATCTGGTTCTACGGGTGGTAGAAGGGACCAGAACTCCTTGGCTAAACCCACTTCCATACACACATGGTTAACGTTGCCACCGCCATTGGGCTTGGGAAGCAGCCCCTAGAGAAGTCGGAGGAGGAGAGGCTGGCACCGTGTGTGGCCATGGTGGCACAATTATTGGAATGGATTCTTGTCCACTGTAAGAGCCAGCACCATGTGCCAGTGAGTCTCTGCCCCAGTTCACAGCTGCCTCACTTGTGAGATCTAAGAACATTCTGCAATCTTTTTTTTTTTTTTTTTTTTTTTTGAGACGGAGTTTCGCTCTTGTTACCCAGGCTGGAGTGCAATGGCACGATCTCGGCTCACCGCAACCTCCGCCTCCTGGGTTCAGGCAATTCTCCTGCCTCAGCCTCCTGAGTAGCTGGGATTATAGGCATGCGCCACCATGCCCAGCTAATTTTTTGTATTTTTAGTAGAGATGGGGTTTCACCATGTTGACCAGGTTGGTCTCGATCTCTCGACCTTGTGATCCACCCGTCTCGGCCTCCCAAAGTGCTGGGATTACAGGCTTGAGCCACTGCGCCCGGCCCATTCTGCAATCTTAAATCTTGTTTCTGCTCTGGAATTAGGACTCACTTGATGGTGTGAAGGGTGAGGGAGCTACAGAGGTAAAAGTCCAAACTGAACTGATCAAGTTTCCGAGAGCTCTAAGAGAAAAGCTGGTGTTTTGCTTTTAGCTGCCTATAGGTGATAATAAGAATAACGGAAATGCTAACCACTACAAATGATTAGAGTTTGCCTGGCGCCACAGCAAGTGATTACATACATCATCTCATTTCATCGTCTTCCCAAAGTAGCCATGTTGCTGTTACCCCCCATCTGCACTTGAGGAGCTGAGGTTCCCTCAAGACCATTCCACACCTGCTTTGTACTGGGTCTTCTGTGGGGTGCTGTCTTCAGGAAGTGGCCCCCCTGTCCAGGGACTCTTGTGCTTCTGGGGAAGCAGAGTCTGGAGGAGGGTGATCCTAAGGCTCTAGAGGCCAGCCATGCTTAGAATCACTGCCCCAAAGGGCACAAGGGTGGAAGTCAGCTTCAGAAATGCTCTGCTTCTGCATCCTTGAGGCCTCTCACCAGAAGTCAGCTGCTCATTAGAGCTTGTCTTTCTAGAACGGTGCCATGGCCTTGGAAGCTGAGTCGGGTGCTGTCATGAGGACTTTTTTCCCATGTTGCTTTTCAGAAAGGTTTTCAGGATGTGGAGATGAGAGTTCAGCCCTGGGAAGATCAATTATTGTGAATGTGGAGTTTAGCGGGAGTTTATTTCAGGAGTGCCATCCTGGTTGTTTGATTTTGGGTGAGACGCTGCATTTCCCAGGGCTTGGGACACCTTTACCCTCTGTGAGAGGAGCTGTGATGCTCGCTGCTGGGCTCTCGAGGGGAGGTTGTGACTGCGGGAAAGGACACCAGTCTTTCTTGGTTGGATTCAGTTTAGATGTTTCTGGCTTCAGGCTCATCCTCAGCTTCACTGTTGGTTTTACAGTAAATGTCAATGCCTACAGCCACTCAGAACTACCTTTTGAAAGATTTTTGAATCTTCATATGTAATTGTTCTGAATGGATTTCAGGACTCTTCTGTATTCTTCAGCATTTCATTAAAGTGTGTCCTTCAACTTTTTTTTTCTTTTTTCTTTTTTTTTTTTTTGTGTGTGCCACAGTTTCAGTCTGTCTCCCAGTCCGGAGTGCAGTGGTGTGATCTCAGCTCACTGCAACCTCCACCTCCCGGTTCAAGCAGTTCTCCTGTCTCAGCCTCCCAAGTAGCTGGGATTACAGGCATGTGCCACCATGCCCGGGTAATTTTGTATTTTTAGTAAAGACGGGGCTTCTCCATGTTGGTGAGGCTAGTCTCATACTTGCAACCTCAGATGATCTGCCTCCCTGGGCCTTTCGTAGTCCTGGGATTACAGGTGTGAGCCACTGTGCCCGGCCATATTTATTTATTTATTTTGAGACCGAGTTTCGCTCTTGTTACCCAGGTTGGAGTGCAGTGGCATGATCTCGACTCACCGCAACCTCCGCCTCCTGGGTTCAGGCAATTCTCCTGCCTCAGCCTCCTGAGTAGCTGGGACTACAGGCACGCGCCACCTTGCCCAGCTAATTTTTTGTATTTTTAGGAGAGACATGGTTTCACCATGTTGACCAGGATGGTCTCGATCTCTAGACCTCGTGATCCACCCGCCTCGGCCTCCCAAAGTGCTGGGATTACAGGCTTTAGCCACCGCGCCCGGCCAATTTCGTCTCTTATACCACTCACTGGTAACTTGGGGGAAGCTGGAAGGAATTATGCCAGGTGAAAAAAGCCAGGCCCAAAAGATCCCATTCCGTATGGTTTTCGGTTTTCTATGGAGCATTCTCTGAAGGCAGAAGTTACAGAGATGGAACAGAGATTTGTGGTTGCGAGGGGCCAAGGATGGGGAGGGAGACAGCCGAGGGATCCTGTGGTTGGGCCGTTGCCCGCCTTGGCTGTGGTGGGTACATGAACGCACACACTGCGCGTGTGTCACGGGGTGGCCCAGGAGCTTGGAGGACTGTTGTGGTGGGAGAGCCTGGCTCGGATCTGGTCCTCGCTTGCCAGATGTGTCCACTGGAAGCAGGTGGACAAGGCATTGCTCTGTCCCCTTTCTTACAACTACATGTGAAGCTACAGTTACTTCACAGTCAGAAACTTAACCAGAAACAAAGCAACTGGTCACATTTTCACGCAGCTTCCTGTGGAGAAGGCCCCTGCACTGTGAGGCATGACTGCTCATGGTGGAACCCCTGCTCCCCCATGCCCTTCGTCTGTCAGGTTCAGCTGTGGCACTCGGACTGCTGTCTGCAGGGGCGGTTTCCAGGTGTGCAAAGCCTGGTGTGGCCCCTGTGGCTGCTTCCTTGAGACTCAGTGGTATCAGCCATTTTTAGATGACTCAGGTGAGTTATTGATCATAATATCTAATTCTCAACAATTGACTTTTTTTTTCCTGGAAGAGGAATTTTGGCAGCAAAACTTGCCAGTGGTCCTGCAGGCTGCTGTCCGCCGCTGTGCAGTAAGGCTCAGGAGGCAGGTGTGTTTCCTGAGCGCCGCGGCAGCACTGCCTCAGAAGCACAGGCAGCAGGAACTCAGGCTGCACCCCCAGCTCTCTCTGAGCTTGCGGCTCGTCAAAATGTCCTGAGGAACCATCCTGGAGGCACACGGGTGGAAGGCGCCTGCAGCACTGGGTGCGCAGGCACAAATGGCCACAATGCTGAAGGCGTGGCGGTAAGAGGCACATCGGGCAGCTCCATGGAAGGATGCTCTGGAGGCTTGGGGTGGACAACTTAAGGACTTAATGGGAAGGAGGTGGAGGGTCTTCCAGACAGAGGAAGTGCCTTTTATACCTAGAGTGTTTTTTGTTTGTTTGTTTTGTTTTATTTTTCTGTTATGAGACAGAATCTCCCTCTGTCACCCAGGCTGGAGTACAGTGGTGCAATCTCAGCTCAGTGCAGCCTGCGCCTCCCAGGTTCAAGCAGTTCTTCTGCCTCAGCCTCCCAAGTAGTTGGGATTACAGGCGCCTGCCACCACGCATGGCTGATTTTTGTATTTTTAGCAGAGACGGGGTTTTCAGCAAAATTCATCATGTTGCTCACACTGGTCTTGAACTCCTGACCTCAGGTGATCTACTTGCCTCAGCCTCCCAAAGTGCTAGGATTACAGGCGTGAGTCACTGCCCCCTGGCCCCTAGAGTGTTTGAATGTCACCTTCTGTTGAGAATCTCAGCATCAGATTCAGTTTCATCTGTTAACCTCAAGGATCTTGTGAGGGTTCTTGTTTTTTGTTAATTCTTCCATCTCAGCTTCCTGAATAACTGAGACCACAGGCACATGCCACCATGCCCAGCTAAATTTGTTTTTTGACTTTTTTGGGGGTTGGGGAGAGAGTCATGCTCTGTCACCCAGGCTGGAGTGCAGTGGTGCAGTCTCGGCTCTCTGCAACCTCTACCTCCCAGGTTTAAGCGATTCTCCTGCCTCAGCCTCTCAAGTAACTGGGATTACAGATGCATGCCACCACACCTGGCTAATTTTTTTTATTTTGAGTAGCAACAGGGTTTCACCGTGTTGGCCAGGCTGGTCTAAAACTCCTGACCTCAGGTGATGCACCCGCCTCAGCCTCTCAGAGTGCTGGGATGACAAGCGTGAGCCACCGCACCTGGCCAGAATTTCTTTCTTTCTTTCTTTTTTTTTTTTTTTGAGACGGAGTTTCGCTCTTGTTACCCAGGCTGGAGTGCAATGGCGTGATCTCGGCTCACCGCAACCTCCGCCTCCTGGTTTCAGGCAATTCTCCTGCCTCAGCCTCCTGAGTAGCTGGGATTACAGGCACGCGCCGCCATGCCCAGCTAATTTTTTTTTTTTTTTTTTTTTTTTTTAAGTAGAGACGGGGTTTCACCATGTTGACCAGGATGGTCTCAATCTCTTGTCCGTGTGATTCACCTGCCTCGGCCTCCCAAAGTGCTGGGATTACAGGCTTGAGCCACCGCACCCGGCCCTCAGAATTTCTTAAGGTTCATTTCCTTAGGTGAAAGTTTCAGAGCTGGGATTTTGAGTTAAGCGAAATGCTGTTTACGGCTCTTGATCCTACCTGCCACGCAGTTCTCAGACAGGGCTGTACTGGTCTACACCAGTGCAGAACCCCAGAACTTGTGCAGGGCCTGTTTGAGGACCCTGCTTGGCCTGGTTCTCTTTAGGTCATCCGCCCGTGTGTGATCACGGAGTACAGTGGATTTCTCCTGCAGTGCCTTGACTCGTGGCTGGAAGAGGCCTCTCTGTGGTCCTGCGTCCTGGGTGCTCTGTTGGCATCCTTCCTGCCACTGAGGAGGCCCCAGAGGCCGGAGAGGACTCACTGAACAGCTAAACTGTTTTAGCCTCAGGAGCTTCAGAAGAAGGTGGCATGATGGAGTTAGACTCTCCCAAGGGCTGTGTGGCCTCAGCACCATGTTGGGCAGATCCTGTTCCCTGACGCAGTGAGACGAAGTGCCTGCCTGGGTCTCACAGCCTATGAATTAACATGCCTGGCTGCCCCTCGCTGGAGAAGGGTTACATGTTAGTGACACAAATGGAGATGAAATCCAAGTCAACATTTTACTTTTATTAGAAATCCTTTGGCCAGGCGCCGTGGCTAATTCCTGTAATCCTAGCACTTTGGGAGGCTGAGGTGGGAGGATCATCTGCCCTCAGTCGTTTGAGACCAGCTTGGGTAACATAGTGAGACCTCATGTTCTACTAAATTTAAAAGATTAGCAGGGCACAGTGGTGTGCACCTGTATTCCCAGCTACTCAGGAGGCTGAAGTGGGAGGATCACTTGAACCTAGGAGGTCAAGGCTGCAATGAGCCTTGATTGCACTACTGCACTCCAGTCTGGGTGACAGAGTGAGATCTATGGCAACAAAAAGAAAAAAAAGAAAATGGGACAGTTGCTGTGGTCACAGAGCTTCTGAAGGAGAAACGTGGGCCGTGGTTCTGGGTCCTCCCTCTGGGACAGCTAGAGTAGCTTTTGGGAAGTTATTTCTCGCAGTTTCAGTTATTTCTCCCATGTTTCTAGTAGAAAACAGTTTGTAGTTAAGTAATAATTAGATACTCAACTGAGAACATAAATTTGCTCTCTAAAATAAGTGGTAGGATTTATAAAATTGTCTTTATAAATAATCAGCTTTAAGTATTAAGTACACTATTAGAATCTGTTATAACAAGACACAGTGATATCTAAAATGTACCTTCATATTTTCAAAGCAATTATTTGACAAACCTTTTCAGTAGGTTTCTTTTTTTTTTTTTTTTTTTTTTTTTTTTTTTTTTTTTTGGTTTTTTGAGAAAGTTTTACTTTGTCGCCAGGCGCCAGGCTGGAGTGCAGTGGTGCGATCTCTGCAACCTCCGCCTCCTGGATTCAAGCAATTCTCCTGCCTCAGCCTCCCGAGTAGCTGGGACTACAGGCAGGCACCACCATTCCCAGCTAATTTTTGTATTTTAGTAGAGACAGGTGTTTCACCATGTTAGCTAGGATGGTCTCGATTTCTTGACCTCATGATCCGCCTGCCTTGTCCTCCCAAAGTGCTGGGATTACAGGCATGAGCCACTGCGCCCAGCCTCATTTTGTATTTTTCTCTTTTTTATTTATTTATTTTTTTTGAGACAGAATCTTGCTGTTTTGCCAGGCTGAAGTGCAGTGGCACAATCTTGGCTCACTGCAACCTCCGTCTCCCAGATTCAAGTGATTCCCCTGCCTCAGCCTCCTGAGTAGCTAGGACTACAGGTGCACGACACCACGCCCAGATAAGTTTTTGTATTTTAGTAGAGACAGGGTTTCACCATGGCTGGGATGGTCTCAATCTTCTGACCTCATGATCCACCTGCCTCGGCCTCCCAAAGTGCTGGGATTACAGGTGTGAGCCACTGTGCCCAGCCTCATTTTATTTTTTTTTTTTTTTTTTTTTTTTTTTTTTTTTTGAGACAGAGTTTCGCTCTTGTTACCCAGGCTGGAGTGCAATGGCGCAATCTCGGCTCACCGCAACCTCCGCCTCCTGGGTTCAGGCAATTCTCCTGCCTCAGCCTCCTGAGTAGCTGGGATTACAGGCACGTGCCACCATGCCCAGCTAATTTTTTGTATTTTTAGTAGAGACGGGGTTTCACTATGTTGACCGGGATGGTCTCGATCTCTCGACCTCGTGATCCACCCGCCTCGGCCTCCCAAAGTGCTGGGATTACAGGCTTGAGCCACCGCGCCCGGCCTCTCATTTTATATTTTTAAACTAATTTAAATATTGTTTGAATTCCTCTAAACTTATTGTTGGAAAGGAAGGTGGTACATGGGATATGCACAGGCCTGGCTGTGCTGCCAGCATGAAGCCCCCAGACAGTGCGGAAGGGGTGGAGCTGTGAATCTCAAGCACACATGCACCTCTTGTTCCCGCTGCTGGGTTCCTGGCGGTATGTCCACAGGCACAGGTGTTCTGGAGATGGCATTGTCCCCTCTGCTGGGTCCGTGGCAGTGTGTCTTCAGGCTTAGGTGTTCTGGAGATGGCATATGCACTGCTGGGTCCATGCTGTTATGTCCTCAGGCACAGGTGTTCTAGGGATGGCGTTGTTACTGCTGCTGGGTCCCTAGTGGTGTGTTCGAAGGCACAGGTGTTCTGGAGATGGCGTTGTTACTGCTGCTGGGTCTGTGGCCGTGTGTCCTCAGGCTTAGGTATTCTGGAGATGGCGTATGCGATGCTGGGTCCATGCTGTTATGTCCTCAGGCACAGGTGTTCTGGAGATGGTGAGACCAAGTGGGCTTCCTGCCTCAGGATTTAGCCCTTGGACTGGCCTTTGTGTTTGTCCTGGCCCTGCCTGTGTCTGGGTCTTGGCTCCTGCTCTGACCAGGTGTGTGTAATGAGTTGGAGTTCCTTGGACACAGACAGCTAGGAGAGCTGGTAACCCAACTGAAGCTTTGGTTGATTCAACAGGTGTGAGCCTGTCTTGGGGGAGCTCCACGTGGAGTGGTTGGCTATAGATGCCGGCTCTGCAGGGGTGACTTGGTTTCTTGTCACCCCTGCACAAAAGAAAAAAGAAAAAGAAATGGTTTTCTCTTGTCTAAGGTGGGAACCACTCTTGCTCCTTGCTGATGTGACCCTGGCGAATGATATGTCAGTGACCTGGGACAGCTTCCTGTTGTCTTTGTCTCCAGTATCTTTAGGGAAAAGTCGGCACAAATGCAGGATCTTCGTACAGGACGCTGCCCCTTCCAGTTCAGTGGAGCTTTCCTGAAGAAGCTCTGGATGTCAGCCATGTCATGCTCATGCGTTTGGTTCTCTTTCTTACTTCTCTACTGGCTCAGAGGACCGGAGGCGCCGGGAGCGGGAAGACCAGATGTACCGAGAGCGGCTTCGGACCTTGCTGGTCATTGCGATTGTCATGAGCCTTCTGAATGCCCTCAGCACCAGCGGGGGCAGCATTTCCTGGAATGACTTTGTCCACGAGATGCTGGCGAAGGGTGAGGTGCAGCGCGTCCAGGTGGTGCCTGAGAGCGACGTTGTGGAAGTCTACCTGCACCCTGGAGCAGTGGTGTTTGGGCGGCCTGTAAGTGAGGGTGTGGTCGCGGGCTGTTGCTATCCTTTTGGATATCTGGAGTTTAGGGTGTGCTTCTTTCTCATACAGGGCTCTCAACCCATTTATTTGGTTGTCTTTTTGTTTGTTTGTTTGTTTGAGGTGGAGCCTCGCTCTGTCACTCAGGCTGGAGTGCAGTAATTTGATCTCGGCTCACTGTAACTTCTTTCTCCTGGGTTCAAGCAGTTCTCCTGCCTCAGCCTCCTGAGTAGCTGGGATGACAGGTGCCTGCCACCACACCAAACTGATTTTTGTATTTTTAGCAGAGATGGGTTTTCTCCATGTTGGCCAGGCCGGTCTCGAACTCCTGACCTCAGGTGATCCGCCCACCTCAGCCTCCCAAAGTGCTGGGATTACAGGTGTGAGCCACTGCTCCCAGCCAGGTCTTTCGATTCCAGGAGTGTGTCAGAACCTGTGTTTGGAGCAATTTAACCCTGGATAATGTGTGGACCAGTGATTAGGAAAAGTGGTCTGGGGTTGGTGCCCTGACCGGGGGAAATGACCAGGACCTCCACTAGAGCTTCTGCCCCTTCACTGGGTTGCTCAGGATTCAGCATGCTTTTCCTTTTCTTTTTCTTTTTTTTTAACCCCCAAGCCCCTCTCCTTTTATTTTTCTCTGTTTTTTGAGACAGAGTCTCACTTTGTCACTCAGGCCAAGGTGCAGTAGCATGTGATCTTGGCTCACTGCATCCTTGACCTCCTGGGCTCTGTTTTGATACTTTTAAAAACCAGAAACCCAAATGAACACCATGGCTAAGTTTGGAGGGTGGCATTCATTCACGTAAATTCTCCAAGGGACACCTGCTCATTTCAGCCTGGAAGGTTATTTTAACCTGCGGCATCGTGCTCATCTCTGGATGAGTCACCTGATAAAACAGCTACCTTAAGGAGAAAATGCTCAGAATGCCATCTTAGCAGTTTGGGGTATAAGTGAGGGAGCAGTAGGTGCCACACACCCCCATCCCTGTCCTCTGCTGGAGTTTCTGGTGAGCCTCAGAGAGCCCTGCAGGTCTGTCTTTTCCTCTCTTTGGGCTGGTACTGTCCAGTCATGCTGAAATCTGAGCTAGGAAAACACTGCTTTTGGAGAATGACAGGCCAGGGAGACAGACCCACTGGTATCCTGGTGTGAGGGATGAATAGTCTTAGATTTTGTGGGGAAGCACAAACCCTCTGTAGCTGCAGGTTCCTAAAACATCTGGTTTGGGCTGTCGTCTCGACTGCTTTCCTCAGACCTGTCCTGCAGCCACACCGGCCTCTCTGAGGGAGGCTCCCTTGTGTCTGCAGGCCCCCGGCAGAGGTGGGTCTGAGTCCTAGGTACCCAGCAGAGGTGGGGCTGTGAGCTGGCGTGCAAACACTCCTCCACTTCTTTTTGTGGTTGTTGTTGTTGTTTGGTTGGTTGTTTTGAGACGGCGTTTCGCTCTTTTTGCCCAGGCTGGAGTGCAATAGTACGATCTTGGCTCACCGCAACCTCCGCCTCCTGGGTTCAGGCAATTCTCCTGCCTCAGCCTCCTGAGTAGCTGGGATTACAGGCACGCACCACCATGCCCAGCTAATTTTTTGTATTTTTAGTAGAGACGGGGTTTCACCATGTTGACCAGGATGGTCTCGATCTCTTGACCTCGTGATCCACCCGCCTCGGCCTCCCAAAGTGCTGGGATTACGGGCGTGAGCCACCGTGCCCGGCTACCCCTCCACTTCTTACTGTTGTCCTATGAGTGGAATATAGATGAGAAAGTCTATCTGTTGAAATTTTATTTCTCAAGTTGTGGTTGAGGAAACTACAAGTGTTTAGACTTGGAAGTGCACGTGCTCCTTGAATGAAGATATTTCCAGCTTCTCAGGGGCCTGTTGGGAAGTAACCGCATCGTTAACTCGAGGAGCTTGGTGTGCATGTTGCATTCATGTTGTTGTGAAGTGGGAAGATCCTACCTCCTGAGGAGCTGGGATCACAGGCATGCGCCGCCACACTTGGCTAATTTTGTATTTTGAGTGGAGATGGGTTTCTCCGTGTTAGTCAGCCTGGCCTCAACCTCCCGACCTCAGGTGATCGGGCCGCCTCGGCCTCCCAGAGTGCTGGGATGACAGGCGTGAGCACCGTGCCTGGTCTGGAGTCATCTCTAGTTTCTGACTGGCATCCTCTTCACAGCGAAGAGGTTGTCTGGGCTATGGGTTTCCTGCAGGTTTTCTGTTGACTGTGGGTTGCCGGTCTGTCCCCGCATCTTTCTCACGGTCCCCTCTCCTTTCTGTCCCCAGCGGCTAGCCTTGATGTACCGAATGCAGGTTGCAAATATCGACAGGTTTGAAGAGAAGCTTCGAGCAGCTGAAGATGAGCTGAATATCGAGGGCAAGGATAGGATTCCGGTTACCTACAAGCGAACGGGATTCTTTGGAAAGTATGTTGGACATCTTTAAACCCAGCTTGGCTTTGTAATGTAAGAAACAGATTGCAAACAAAAATCTCAAACACTCTTAGCCTGTAGTTACCTAGACTCCTCTGTGGGAGGGTTAAATAAACGTAGAAGTGAATGATACAATGCGAGGAAATTTGCAAATATAGTCAGCCCTGGGTATCCATGGGGCATTGGTTCCAGGACCTCCCAAGGATACCAACATCTGAAGATGCCCAAGTCCCTGATGTAAAATGCCAAAGTGTTTGCATATAACCTAAGAACATCCTGTGATACGCTTTCAGCTGTCTCTAGATTGCTAGTAATACCCAGGACCCTGTAAACAGTATTTTGGTAGTTGTTGCACTTTATTGTTTAGGGAATAATGACAAGAAGTTTCTGCGCACGTTCAGTACGGGTGCGATTCTTCAGTCTGCGCTTGATCGAACATACAGAGGTAGAGCCCGTGGTTACGGAGGCCAGCTGTATGCGAGTCTGTTGGAGTTTGTTTCGTCACTTTCTTCAGTTGTCCAGCATGTCTGAATTCGCATTCTTGTCTAATTTTCGCTGATTATGTTGTTCCATGAGGTCTTCCCAAATGGTCAGATGAAGGGTACAGATGCTGGAGATACCCAGTGACCTAGCCAGCCTCGGACAATTACGACATCCAGGTTTTTCTAGTTTCATGGTGTTTTGTTTTCAAAAGTAACTGATCGGTTTCAGTTAGCAAGGCAAGATCAGCCTAGCAGTAAACAAAAAAGAGAGTCAAGGACTTTGATAATGTCCTGGGGTTGCTGTCTTCTGCAAGAAGGGTAGAAACAGGAATGTGAAGTTCTCACTTGAGTGTTGAGGGAGAAGCAGACCTGGTGGGAGCTGTGGGCAATTATGGGCCATGGAGCAAATGAGGGGCCAACAGGTACTGAAACCAGAGAGGTTCATTGTTCCCTTGTAGTCTCTGAAGATGTAGAATGCCAGTGACTGGCAAGTAGTCCTTTGATTAAAATGCACCTCTAGCTGCGTGCGGTGGCTGTGCTGTAATCCCATCACTTTGGGAGGCCGAGGCAGGAGGATATCTTGAGCCCATGAGTTCGAGACCAACTGGACAGCATGGAGAACCCCATCTCTACAAAAAAAGATGCACCTCTAATTGTACAACCTAGCAACTCCTGGAAGATCAGTGCTCTGAGGCCATGCTTCTCGTGTCTTTGTAGGTCAATGATGCAGAGAAGATGGAGGGTCAGGGCAGCCCCTCCTTCAGGATGAGGGCTGAAGTCCTGGGATTTGAGACGGGGGTCTCACTCTGTCGCCCAGGCTGGAGTGCCGTGCACAGTCTCGGCTCACTGCAGCCTCAACCTCCCGTGATCAGGTGATTCTCCCACCTCAGCCTCCTGAGGAGCTGGGCCTACAGGCACATGCCACTAGGTCCAGCTAAGTTTTTTTTGTATTTTTAGTAGAGACAGAATTTTTTTTTTCTTTTTTTGAGACAGAGTACTACAGTGGCAAGATCTTGGCTCACTGCAACCTCCACCTCCTGGGTTCAAGGAATTCTCCTGTCTCAGCCTCCATAATAGCTGGGATTGTAGGTGTACCCCACCATGCCCTGCTAATATTTGTATTTTCTTTAGTAGAGATGAGGTTTCATCGTGTTGGCCAGGCTGGTCTTGAACTCCTGACCTTATGATCCACCCACCTCAGCCTCCCAAAATGCTGGGGTTACAGGCGTGAGCTACTGTGCCCGGCCTGGGATTTGCTTTTTACTGCTAGACTGATCTTGCCTTGCTGATTGAAACTGATTACTTTTGAAAACAAAATATACTGAAAATAGAAAACCCTGACCGTTACTGTCACAAGGCTGGCCAGATCACTAGGTATTTCAGGCCTTTGCACACTCAGTCTGACTGTTTGGGAAGCCTTCACGAAAGAGCATAGTCAGCGAGAATGAAATGAGAGGACCCATTTTCACATCATCTGCCTCTGTGCATCAGTCCCAGACGTAGGGATTACTCCTCTCGTCTTCGAAACCTTGCTGCTGGTGGTTCTGACTTAGAAAAGTGTGTTTGTCTCGTGACACCATCTGACTCTGCCCCTGCCTCTTTTTCTTCTGGCAGTGCCCTGTACGCCCTGGGGATGACAGCAGTGGGCCTGGCCATCCTGTGGTACGGTTTCCGCCTGGCTGGAATGACTGGAAGGGAAGGTGGATTCAGTGCTTTTGTAAGTTCTGTCAATTAGATCTCTCTGAACTTAAAGTGTCAGGATTTTTCTGTTTGTGTTTGCTGAATACTTTTCCCAGAAGCTCTAGGATAGGTAAATAATACAGTGAAAACCTGTTGCAGAGAGCAGCCTGAAGCCATAATTTGGCAGCAGCCAAATTCCCATGGGCTTTGTTTCCCAGACTGGCTGCACGGTGGCTAGTGACCAGCGTTGCCTGAGGGCCTCTCACCCTAACTCTGTGGTGCCTGAGCCAGGTGAGTTTACAAGGCAGTTGAATCTGCATTTTTCTTTTCTTTTTTTTTTTTGAGTCGGAGTTTCGCTCTTGTTACTCAGGCTGAAGTGCAATGGCATGATCTCGGCTCACCGCAACCTCCGTCTCCTGAGTTCAAGCAATTCTCCTGCCTCAGCCTCCTGAGTAGCTGGGACTACAGGCGTGCGCCATCATGCCCAGCTAGTTTTTGTATTTTTAGTAGAGACAGGGATTCACCATGTTGACCAGGATGGTCTCGATCTCTTGACCTCGTGATCCACCCACCTTGGCCTCCCAAAGTGCTGGAATTACAGGCGTGAGCCACTGCACCCGGCCTCTCTTCTATTTTAAACAAAGTATTGCTTTATTGCCTAGGCTGGAATGCAGTGGCATGATCTCTGCTCACTGTAACCTCGGCTTCCTGGGTTAAAGCAGTCCTCCTGCCTCAGTCTCTTGAGCAGTTGGGACTACAGGTGTGGACCGCCATGCCTGGCTAATTATTGTATTTTTGTAGAAACAGGGTTTTGCCTCGGGAGGCAGAGGTTGCAGTGAGCCGAGATTGTGCCCCTGCACTCCAGCCTGGGACAGAGCAGACTTCATCTCCAAAAAAAAGAAATAGAGTTTTGCCATGTTGGCTGGGCTGGTCTCGACCTCCTGGGCTCAGGTGATCTGCCCACATTGGCCTCTGAAAGTGCTGGGATTACAGGTGTGAGCCACCAGCCTGGCTGAATGCACATTTTTCAATCATCAGCTGGCAAAGACTTTGTTCCTCTTCGTTTCCTAGTAGCTAAGAAGCTGAGGAATTTAAAAGGTTGTCATTAAAAGAACAACCTTAGACCGGGCACTGTGGCTCACAATTTTTGTAGTTTTAGTAGAGATGGGGTTTCATCATGTTGGCCAGGCTGGTCCCCAAACTCCTGGCCTCAGGTGATCTGCCCTCCTTAGCCTCGCAAAGTGCTGGGATTACAGGTGTAAGCCACTGTGCCCGGCTGGGGGTAAATAGCTAGTCAAGTCTCTTAGTAATTAATGAGGTGAAACAAGTTTTCCTTGTATGTCTGAAGACCACCCCATGTGCCCTGTCAGTCTAACTTGAGTGGAGCCAAAGGGATCCTGCAATGGAGACGTGGGGCAAGGGGTTGGAGCAGCTCAGGTGCGTTGGCTGAGCCTCCTGTATTGCGTTACTGATTTTCTGACCCTTTGCATAGCTCCTTGTACTTCATTCTTTCTGCACAGAATCAGCTTAAAATGGCTCGTTTCACGATTGTGGATGGGAAGATGGGGAAAGGGGTCAGCTTCAAAGACGTGGCAGGAATGCACGAAGCCAAGCTGGAAGTGCGAGAGTTCGTGGATTATCTGAAGGTGAGAGCCGGCGCTGACCAGGAGGGAGACGTGAGCAGATGACCTGCTTTCTCTCCCGGAAGGCCTTTTGTGGGGATCAGAGCCTTGGGACTCGGAATTCCATCCATTACATGTTGTGGGTTGGTGGTGGCCTCTACCCTGTCCCATGGGGACACCAAGCAGGTGCTGGTGTCTGTTCAACCAGCAGCGCAAGCTCCATGCCCAGGGTTCAGCCAAGGGGAGGCTGCCGAGGCCCATGCCTGCTGTGCCATTAGCCATCCTGGATTCCTGGCAGACCTCTGTGCTTTTCCCAGAACCACTTAAATCCCATATGGAGTTCATGGCAGTGCGTGACCTGCCTTTCATGTGCATCACTTAAACATTCTCTCTGAGGGTGTGGTGCAGTGGGTCATGCCTGTAGTCCTGGCACCTCGGGAGGCTGAGTCAGGAGGATTGCTTGAGCCCAGTAGTAGGAGATCAGCTGGGCAACAGTGAAACCCTGTCTGCAAAAAATTTTTAAAAGTAGCCAGGCGTGGTGGCACATGCCTGTATAGTCTCAGCTACTCGAGAGGCTGAGGTGAGAGGATGGCTTGAGCCCAGGAGATTGAGGCTGCAGTGAGCTATCATGGCAGCCACCGCATTCCAGCCTGGGTGATGCCGGGAGACGTTACCTTTAAAAAAAGAAAATCTGAAATCGCAAGTCGCCAGTGTCACATTGTCTACTGCCGTCCAGAGCCCAGAGCGCTTCCTCCAGCTTGGCGCCAAGGTTCCGAAGGGTGCACTGCTGCTCGGCCCCCCTGGCTGTGGGAAGACCCTACTGGCCAAGGCAGTAGCCACAGAGGCCCAGGTGCCGTTCTTGGCAATGGCTGGCCCGGAGTTCGTGGAGGTCATTGGAGGTAGGTGTTGTGGTTGGGGGCTGTGGGTGGCCTTTGCTGACCACGTGGCTTGATTCACACGTTCTTCCTCGGGCAGCTAGACTGAAGGGGAAGCAGGTGGGCGGGGAGTAGAGAGGGAAAGCGAGGCCTGGGTTAGAGGAGGTGTTGTGTCTGCGGAGCACATGATGTCTGCTTTGAAGCCGCTCTCACTTGTGGCCAGCAAGCCAACACGGTGCGTGTGAGCCTTGAGGGGCTGCCAGGGGACCCCCGGGAGCAGCTGATGTGTGTCTCTTTGGAGGGATGAGGCTGGTAGGTTTATTCATCTTTGGGGGACACCTTTGTCTGGCCCAGGCACAGGAACAGGCTTTGTTTTTTATCTGCCCATTTCCTGGTTCTCTCTGTCCCCTCAGGCCTGGGTGCTGCCCGTGTGCGGAGCCTCTTCAAGGAGGCCCGAGCCCGGGCTCCCTGCATCGTCTACATCGACGAGATCGACGCGGTGGGCAAGAAGCGCTCCACCACCATGTCCGGCTTCTCCAACACTGAGGAGGAGCAGACGCTCAACCAGCTTCTGGTGGAAATGGACGGTCAGTGCCCGTGCGCCCCACGCCCCCACTGCACCATCAGAGAAGGTTTCTGATGTTTTCAGGACAGTCATTTTCTGGGCAGATGAAGCTGTTTACGTTTATTGTTCCAGCGACTTCAACTAGTGCTTATGAGATCTGATTTGTCTTGAGTCCCTGATGTCTGCTGCCCCTGTGCCCCTGCTTGCTGCAGGTGAGGATGATATGAGAGCACACACTATCCAGCAGTTCGTAACTAGAGAGCAGTCGGTGGAAGAACTGTCCTCATTGTGCTGCACTCAGCAAACACAGCCGCGATGGCTCACTCCTGTAACCCCAGCACCTTGGGAGGCTGCGGCTGGTGGATCACCTGATGTCAGGAGTTCATGACCAGCCTGGCAACTTGGTGAAACCTTGTCTCTACCAAAAATACTAAAATCAGCTGGCAGTGGTGACACATGCCTGTAGTCCCAGAGGCTGAGGCAAGAGAATTGTTTGATCCCAGGAGGTGTAGTTTACAGTGGGCTGAGATCACACCATTACACTCCAGCCTGGGTGACAGAGGGAGACCCCATCTCAAAAAAAAAAAAAAGAAAGAAAAGAAACACAGATTTTAATTTTTAAAAAACAAGGTCAAGGCAATAGTATAAAAGAAAACTAGGATTGGCCGGGCGCAGTGGCTCAAGCCTGTAATCCCAGCACTTTGGGAGGCTGAGGCGGGTGGATCACAAGGTCAAGAGATCGAGACGATCCTGGTCAACATGGTGAAACCCCGTCTCTACTAAAAAAAAATACAAAAAATTAGCTGGGCATGGCGGCGTGTGCCTGTAATCCCAGCTACTCAGGAGGCTGAGGCAGGAGAATTGCCTGAACCCAGGAGGCGGAGGTTGTGGTGAGCCAAGATCGTGCCATTGCACTCCAGCCTGGGTAACAAGAGTGAAACTCTGTCAAAAAAAAAAAAAAAGAAGAAAAGCAAACTAGGATTATAAGTGGTTTGTCAGATGTAATTTGTTTTTTTGTTTTTTTTTTTTTTGGATATACGGTCTTGGGCCGGGCGCGGTAGCTCAAGCCTGTAATCCCAGCACTTTGGGAGGCCGAGGCGGGTGGATCACAAGGTCAAGAGATCGAGACCATCCTGGTCAACATGGTGAAACCCCGTCTCTACTAAAAATAAAAAAATTAGCTGGGCATGGTGGCGCGTGCCTGTAATCCCAGCTACTCAGGAGGCTAAGACAGGAAAATTGCCTGAACCCAGGAGGCAGAGGTTGCGGTGAGCCGAGATACAGTCTTGCAGTGTCACTCAGGCTGGAGTGCAGTGATGTGATTTTGGCTCACTGCAGCCTCTGAGTCCCGGGTTCAAGCAGTTCTCCTGCCTCAGCCTCCCAAGTAGCTGGGATTACAGGTGCTTGCCACTACGCCCAACTAATTTTTGTTTTTTTGTTTTTTTGTTTTGTTTTTTTTTTTTTTTTTGATATGAAGTCTTGGTCTGTTGCCAAGGTGGAATGCAGTGGGGCGATCTCAGCTCACTGCATTCGTTGCCTCCTGGGTTCAAGCGCTTCCCCTGCCTCAGCCTCCCAAGTAGCTAGGACTACAGGCAAGCATCCCAATGCCTGGGTCATTTTTTGTATTTTAGTAGAGACAGGATTTCACCCACCCTGTAGTACTAGGATTACAGGCATGAGCCACTCTGTGCCCAGCCCTATTTAATTTACTTTTTATTTAGTAGTTTTTTGTTTTGTTTTGTTTTGTTTTTTGAGTCTGTCACCAGGCTGGAGTATGGTGGCACAATCTCACCTCACTGCAGCCTCCATCTCTGGGTTCAAGTGAGTCTGTCTGATTGTGTGGCCATGTCGCTTTCTGTGCCATATGGGGAGGGTGTGACACTGGTTAGGGCAATGAGCAGAGCCTCAGTGTGCTGTGGCCTGGGAGGCACACCTCTTGTGTGACACCTTGAAAATGACTTCTGACCTGGCTTTGACAATGTTTTTTCTTTTTTCTTTTTTTTTTTTTTTTTGAGACAGAGTTTCGCTTTCATTACCCAGGCTGGAGTGCAATGGCGCAATCTCGGCTCACTGCAACCTCCGCCTCCTGGGTTCAGGCAATTATCTCCTGCCTCAGCCTCCTGAGTAGCTGGGATTACAGACACGCGCCACCATGCCCAGCTAATTTTTTTGTATTTTTAGTAGAGACGGGGTTTCACCATGTTGACGAGGATGGTCTCAATCTCGACCTCGTATCCACCTGCCTCGGCCTCCCAAAGTGCTGGGATTACAGGCTTGAGCCACCGCGCCTGGCCCAATGTTTTTCTTTTTTTTTTTTTTTTTTTTTTGACACAGAGTTTCGCTCTTGTTACCCAGGCTGGAGTGCAATGGCGCGATCTCGGCTCACCGCAACCTCCGCCTCCTGGGTTCAGGCAATTCTCCTGCCATCAGCTTCCTGAGTAGCTGGGAGTTACAGGCACACGCCACCATGCCCAGCTAATGTGTTTGTATTTTTAGTAGAGACGGGGTTTCACCATGTTGACCAGGGTGGTCTCGATCTCTTGACCTCGTGATCCACCCGCCTCGGCCTCCCAAAGTGCTGAGATTACAGGCGTGAGGCCACCGCGCCCCGGGCCAGGCCAATATTTTTCTTTTTAATGGAGCTGACCCAATAAGAGTGCCATGGAGTTGGTTTTCTTCGGAGATACTTTACACCTTATTTTTTGTGATATTGTTGGGTAAAATGTCAGATAGCCAGGCATGGCGTGCATGCCTGTGTTCTGGCTGTTTGGGAGGCTGAGTGGAAGGAGTGCTGAAGCTAAGTGAGGGGCTGTGCTCTGTGCCATGGTCGTCCAGTGAACTGCCACGGCCCTGCATCATGGGTGACACAGTGAGGCCTTGTCTCTAGAAACAGTAAACATACACTAAGCATAAACTAGGCATTGATCGATTCTGAAGTTTATCGGCATTAAGTACACTCCCCTTCATTGTCGAGCACCGTCACCACTCTATGCCACCTCAGAACTTTGTATTCAGTCCAAAGAGAACATATTGTCCCCTGTGAGCCCTCCCCAGTCTCCAACACTCAGCCGCTTGCAGCTGTTCTGTCTCTGATGTTCGACTCATTCTAGGACCTTATAGAGACCACAGTGTTTGTCTTTGCTTACTCATCTTCTTTCACGGCGCAGAGCAAAGCTCCGGCCCTCTGTGTCTGGGAGCGCAGATCAGGATTTCCTTCCTCTGAGGCGGAACCATAGCTGCGTTGTGTGTAGGGCCGTGTCTGCTGATTCACGCCCATTGCCATGGACATGTGGCTGTTGTGAAACAGGCTGTGTTTACAGGCAGCAAGCATCTTTTCAAGTTTCTGCTGTGTAGATTTATTTTAATTTAATCAGAATTCACGTTGCATTTAGGTGTTGTAGGTGAGGAGATGTTTGTCCCGCCCATGTCCTGTCTGGCTCAGGAGAGCATTCGCATTGCCGTTTTCTTTATGCCTGTGGCTTCCTGCTTGGAGTTGTGTGTTAGCCAGCACCTGCATAGTCCAGTTTGGGCTTGTACTGAGCTGAGGGTGAACAATTTTTCACGCTTTCGATTGTGAAGTAATTTTAGACTTACAGAAGTATCGGCACAGTAAGTCAGAGTGTACTTTATGCATCCTACAAGCTCCTCTAAGGCTGACTGGTGTACATGGTCTGCTGGTCAGGCCATGTGTCCACAGACCCGAGCCACAGGTGCCTTCGACCCCGCCCCGGGGCCACAGTGTCCGCGAACTGCCCCGCAGAACCCCCGGGTGCTCGACTCCCGACGTGGATGTTCTAGCCTCCTTAATTTGTCCTCACTATCCTGTAGCCATTTCTTGGTCTTCGTTTTTTTTGTTTTTCTTGAGGCAGGGTCTTGCTTTGGGCCCAGGTTGGGTCTGAACTCCTTGGCTCAAGAAATCCTCCTGCCGCAGCCTCCCGAGTAGCTGGGATTACACATGGGCTCCACTGTTGTTTCGGTCTTGTCTTTGGTGGCTGTGACACTTTGTCCAGGCCAGTGACGTTAAGGAATATCCTGCTCTGAGCTGTGACGTATCCTCAGGGTCAGGTCGAGCAGTGCATTGCTGGACCGGTGCAGCAGTGCTGTGGTGTGCCTTGCAGTTTGCAGTGTCACCGGTGCCTGTAGCTGGTGGACTCTGCTGAGTGGCTTGGCCCAGTGCTGTCTCACGTCTCTTTGGGGTCTGGGTGCCCTGTGTTCCCATCTGCCTCTGGCTGCTGTGAACGTCAGATGGACTGAGGGCCACACAAGTGCTCCGTAGGCTCTGTGAGCTCCCCAGGGTAAAGGATTAAAGCAAGATTCCCGACTGTGGAGGACGCAGTGGCGTGCTGAGGTGTTTGCAGAGAACGCTCACGTCTCTCCTGCACCTCATCCATCGTCTGTGAACACGCTAGTCAGGAACTTATGCATGACAACTGAGACCTCAAACGGCCGCCTTCCGCACACAGAACAAGTGGTCCTGGGAATAGAGTTTTCTGAGAACGAGGTCTTCAGAGACGTGAGTGAGTCGTTCAGATTCTGCGATGTCTGAGGTGTCACTGGAGGAGACACCTCCTCAGAGAAATGGGTCTCAAGGGACCCCCACTGCCTCTGCTGGGGAAGCTGGCCCTGCGCCTCAAGCAGGGATCACTGTACATTTCAGAGGCCTCTGGGTCCCCAGGCTTGCGTGTTTGCGTCTCTGTGGAGCATGTCTTTATGTGGCCTGTTTGGTGCTGTGTGGCCTTCAGTGTGGCTCTGACCATTGCCTTGGAGGCTGCCCATGGTTGGCTGGTGGTTGGGGTTTTGAGGAAATCTACTGCACACCTTGGGTTCCAGTGGCTGGGCCATGCTGGCTTCGTGGCGTGGACTGTGAGGCCTTCGTCCTGTGAGTCTTGCGGCTTCCCGTGTTAACCAGGTGCCCTCCCATGAGGACCATTGAGGAATGTGAGAAGAGGCCCCACCTGCTACTGTCTGATGGAGCCACAGGGCCACGGAAGTCATCACTCGCTTGGGTGCTTTTTGCACTGA